GGCCACAGCTATGTTTTGATTATCAAAGAAGCAAATGCCATGCTGTCCGAGAGCCCTCCACTCTCCCCTGGCCTGCTCTGCCTCTCTGCACCACTTCCAACTTCCTGCTGTGCATATTCCTTTCTGCACCTTACTCTCCACTCTTGTCTGTTTCCTCCGCAGAGCAGGGCTCTCCTCTGCCTAGCCCACTACCTACAACAGAGTAGGTGCTCAAACATATCGGGCGAATAAAAAAGAATATTTTATATACAAATACACTCATGCACCAGGGTCAGGGCGTGCCCGTGGCTGTATGTACTGTGTTTTCCCCACTTCTGTGGCATTTGTACATTTTTTCCTTTTTTTTGCATTTCCCTTGTCATTAGTCTTTAAGAACACCCTTTTTGACAGCTGTATAGTATTCCACCACCTTGCTATTACGTCCTTTTTGCTTCCTTTCACGCCACCCTTCTTGGTCTTTATTCAGTTGTGTCTGCAAGACTTAAATAAGGAAATAGGCAGGAAGAGGAAGGTGAAGGCTTTTCTGACAGAAGGAACTCATAGGGAGAAGGCAGTGTGGGTGTGGTGTGGGGAGCTGAGTGAAATCTTAAGGGTGTTGAATTCAGAAGTGATGTCTGGTGAGCCATGTGGCCAGGAAACCTTGTGCCCAGTGGCATATTGTTAAACTAACTCTCCAAAAATAATAATAATAATATTTGTCCATGGTGTCAATTCTCCTACCATGGTGGTGTTTAATTCCCAAGATAGCATTGCTGAACGTGGAGTTGCGAGGCAGGAAACAGCCAGCTCTCACGGGCCCGTAGGAGCGACTCGGCGCAGCCCTGCCTGATCTCTGCTCTGGGAGGAGAAGCCCTCTCTACTCCATGTCCGCGAGCTCTCTCGGGGCCCCGGGCCCAGCATCTCAGACGAAGGGGAGGGCTCCGTCCTGGGCAGTGGGCCCATCAGGGCGGCAGGAACCCTATCTTGGGATCGATCAGACTTCTCAGCTGGATACAAACTCACAGATTCCCTCAGCTCAGCAATCCGGAGCCGCCCCGGCCACTGGAGTGTGGCTGCTCCATCCACCCCTGGAATTCGGGGCTGGGCCTGGCGCTCTGCCCAGCCTCAGAGCTCAGCCACCACATGGGGCTCCGGGTCAGGCACAGCAGTGGGTTCAGGACATCACCCAATGGCACGACACGTATGGAGCGCTTGCTGTATGCTAGGCTCTGTTAAACATCCGACATTTACTTCATCGCATCCTCACACCCAGCCTATGAGGTGGGTGCCATTGCCCCCCGTTTACAGATGAGGAAACTGAGGCACAGAGAGGATAACGCACTTGCCCAAGAACATCCAGCTCTGAAGTGTAGGTGCCAGGATTCGGTCCTAGGCCGGCTGGAGGCTAAAACCTCTGCTCTTCAACCCCGAGCTCAGCATCCCCTCCTGAGACAGGTTTTATGAAGCACCTGCTGTGTGCCCTGCATGCTGCTGGGCTGTGTGTGGAGCTGGCAGTGATCGTGGCTTTGTCTTCACGGATCTTAGCAGAAGAGGAATGGGAGGAGGTTAACCATTTATTGAGCAACTACTGTGTGCCGGGAAGGAAGCCAGATGCCTTACACCACTGTCTTAATTACCGCTCATAACAAATCCCATGAGAAAGGGGAGACCCCTCCCACGTGACAGCCCAGGCCCGGGAGCTCAGGAGCCTGCCCTCCGCTCTCCTAGCTGGGTGGCCTCCAGCAGGTCGCAGGCCCGCGCGGGCCACCTTTCCCCCTTGACAGAGGTGCCTTGACAGAGGCTGTTCCAGGAGACCCGAAACCCTCTGCCAGTTTGGGGTCAAAGCTTCTCACAATAACAGGAAGTGGCCAGGCCATTTGGAAACGTTGGGGACTCTGGCCTCAGCCCCAGGGGAACGGCAGGGTCAGACGCCAGATATTGGGCAGGTGACAGAACTGACTCCCTAGAGACCTGGCTGGCACAGTCCATGACCTTTGTAACCCGCCCCCACCCCCCGCGGGGGGAGCGGGGAGGGGTGCCTAGGAATGTGATTTCCTGCTCAGCTCCGGAAGGCAGGCGGACGTGGCTGGTGGCAGCTTGGCTGGCTTCCCAGGTGGCCCCAGAAAGAGGCCCCCAGGTTCCACCGCGGTCGCCAGGGGCTGGGTAGCATCCCTGGGTCTCTGCGAGATCTCAGAAGAAAAAGGTTCAGCCAAAAGCTCCTACTTAGGTTGGGGGAGGAAGGCCTGACACCTGTCTTGAAGCCTTTTCCACTGGTGAAGATCCGGGGTGGCTGGTAATGATTATGGGGGTGCGTTAAGTACTCCCTTGGAGCTACCACTGTTCTGGATTCAACCCTGGATCATCCCTCACCCCCATCTGAAGGATGCTGCAATACTTCTAAGGCTTGGGGGCCAGTCCTGCTAGACCCATTTCCCAGATGGGGTAACTGAGGCCCAGACTTTGGAAGTTGGAGGACTCACCAGACAGTGGCCAACTGGGGAGAAAATTCCAGGGATCAGAACCCCTAATGAGAGTGCCTGGGTGGGAGTCGAGGAGGGAGTCTGGGAGGCAGATCCCTGGGCGACTCCTGTGGCTGGGCAGCCCTCCCAGTCCCGCCGGTCTGGGTGTGCCCACACTCATTCAGCGGGGGACTTCCCATTGGTGCCCAGCCCTGGGCTGACCCGAGTGACTCAGGCTGGGCACCAGCCCTTCTAAGAGCTCTTAAGCAGGTAAACAGTGAAACTCACGGGGAGAAATAGTGTGTGTAAGTACCTGCCCTGGGACTGGCTCTTCCCCATCATATTATCTCATTTAAAACTTGAATAAATGGACAAACCCGGAGCTGCAGGAACAGAGAAAAAGGGAAGAAAGACATCTGCCTGTTGAGGAAATCCTGGAAGACGCCCCAGGAGAGGGGACATTTGAGCTATGCCTTGAAGACCAATCATAACAACATCAAACACTTTTTTAAGCTCCCCAAGTTCCCGTTGCTGTTCTGAGACCTGTATCTGCTTTATCTCCGCGAATCCTCCCCGAACCCTGTGAGCGAGATACCATGTTCCCTCGGAACAGATGAGAAAACCGAACCAAGGCACAGACAGGATCACTTGCCCAACAGCACACAGCGACCCAGCGGCTGGCGTCAGGATGCACATCCAGAAGGCAAACCAACTACGGACTGACACCCGCCTCTGGACCTCCGTTTCTTCATCCGTAAAATGGGGGTGATAGTGCAATACTCTCTAGTGCATGGAGTTACTGCGGAGACGAAGACGGGATAAGCCCGCCGTGGCTCAGAGCAGGGCCTGGCACACTGTCAGGTGCTCAAACATTGTAAACGACTTTTATCATCGCTGCGGCGGCTGCGCCCCTCCCCCCGCCCGGCCGCGGCGTCCTCCCCCGCAGCGCCAGCCCGTGACGTGGGTGCGGCGGCTCGCACAGTCTGGGTTTAATAGGAAACTGAGAGCTAGAAGGGGAGATCGAGGCCCCGCCCTTGAATCTAACGGACCCCCAGGGAATGTGCCACTCTCTCTCTAGCGACCCCTCCCGGAGACGCGGATACAGCTCCGGACAGGACGGGGTGGGGTGGGGGGGTCGGACCTGGAGGTGGCGCCGGAATGGCAGGCGGGGAGGGCCGCGGAGACGTGAAGGTGTGGAAGGGAGGACAGGCGGGGGACACACTACGTTTTCTGA